ATTGACCAAGGCGTAAATCAAATTGGGTTTTAAAGTTCAAAACGACAAATACCAAAATCAATTTAATTTTTCCATTATTGCTACTTCAAATATACAGCTGATGTAATAACTTTCGAAATACCTTTATTACTTTGAGAAAACGTGGTAAAGTTTAATTAACATTCCTTAAAATGGAACTGACTAATCTGAAATACTAATAACGCCTTTTGAAATTAAATTTGCCAACATGAAACGAAATGACGCCTTTTTATTCTAAAAAATCTGGGTCCTAATTTATCTGAGAAATTTACTTCAAACATTACTTGTACCTAAATACTCGCTCATTTCTAATCTGAAAGACAATCTTTTGGTTATAAAGGAGAAGAAATGGCACATTATTATTTCTAGTATCATTATGTTTATCATCAACGAAAATCATCGATATGACAAGTTTTTTATGATAAACAATAACTATACCTTTTCCAGACGTATTTCAGAAAGTTTAAATTCAATTTCATCTTAGTAAGTTTAATATCGAAAAGCGGACTAGTCGTCAATTCCATTTCAGATAATGTCAATTCTATTTGAGAAGAGTGATTTTTCATAGTCAGAAAATTCAAATTCCGTTTCAGAAAATGTTTTTCAGAGAATTAGATATTAATTTATTGACGTTGTAATCAACTCTACATACACATATCTGATGTGCACAGTACATCAGTACAGTTCAACTTATTTCATCTGGCCGGTGAAGGTCGGATGTGTAGTGTCAAAGGGTAGGAAGGGTCCGTGGAACTCATTTTGTTTTGTAAACATTCTCGCTAAAGTCAAGGAGTGGACATAAAAAATTTTAAACACAGTTTTAGATGCAGGAAGCAGAGGAATAATAAATAATAAATTAATGGATAAATAAATTATGTAAATAATTGTTTTTTTTATGTATTGAATGGTAGGGGTAGTTTATCAAACATTTTACCGTTTTCGCTTTCTCTTCAGATTGTACTTTTATTCCCACCACCCCATCCTTTAACTTTTTATACGTAGTGTACAATCTCTCACTTTTGCGCATCTCACCATCCATTTGATTGGCTATTGCATAAAGCCATAACAGTGATATCAGCTGTCCCAAAATTCACGTAAGATTTGAATTTTGCGCCATTACACAAACGGTAAAGTGTCGCTAACGAAAAAAAAAAAAAAAGACAGCGTAACCGCTGACAGTTCACGGTTATTAAAAATGGAGCTACACACTAGAACAACGTGTTTTCATTGTTGAGCAATATTTTAAAAATAATTAAGATTGCAGTTCGCAATTTTCGTACAAAATATGGTCGGAATAGTGATCTACTTCATCAATTGTAAAGAGATTAATCGAAAAATTCAGGGAGACTAGAAACATTGTGCAAAACCGTACTTATCTTATCAACTTCCACGTCACCTGTTACATGAGTGTTGCACAACAATGAAAAAGTAATATTAACGGTCGATAGAAGGAAGCACAAAAAACAAGCGCTTAGGTAGGGATTTCTGGAAGGAAGCCTAAACAGTTGAAGATAGGCAGTTGAAGTGAGAACAGTGTGCAGATAGGTAGCAAGACGATCGGCGGGCAGTGTGACAAAGTAGTGTAAAATTAAGTGTTTAACCGGTATTAGTTAGCAGGTAATATTCTTTAAGTACTTTGTTGTTAATTGTTCTGTGTAATCTTATGATTGTAATGTTTATAGATGTTTCATGATAATAATTCTTTGTATGTTTAGCTTCCGTTGCTTTATGCTCAAGGGCATATATTTTTCTAAGGTAAAATTGTTATACTGTTATATTATTAACGATTGCTCATTATTTATTTCATGTTAAAATATGTATATCGTCGTGGGCGCCCCCGACTTTACAATAATGACTCCTTTGTTTTACAGCTAACTTGTTTTTGTAATGATGACGTTGTTCGTAAAATATAGATGTCTCATGATAATAATTCTGTATATGTTTAGCCTTCATTGTCTTACGCTTAGGGGCGTATATTTTTCTAATATAAAATTGTTACAATTATTATTTAAGGTTGTTCATTATTTATGACATGTTCAAATATGTATTTTGTCGAGACCGCCCAGATAGTGCAATAACGACTTCTTTATTTCACATTTAACTTGTTTTAAACAAGATCATGTTGTTCTTTGATTTCTTGTGTCCACTTTATGTCACACGTCTATACGAGCCTTGTTGCAGTTACTAACATTTTCGCCCGTGCGGAATGAATCTGGATTACGCTGGATAGCCTCCCGTATGGGACTCCAGTGTTAAGAAGGACCTTCCGAAATCTCAACTTTAGCTGAGTAGCCTCCCGTATTATGGGACCTCAGTACCTTCCGGCTCTGCCGGCTAACTAACACCAAATCTCTCCAGTTTTACTTGGAAGTGTGTATGACTAATATGGGGTTAACAGATGACATTTAGTGACACATTAAATGGGACAAGACTTATTTATCATTAGCAAAGGATCTTAATTTATTCCTTTGGTTAGTGGTTGTTTTTGTATTTATATTTGGGTGGTAAGAGCAACGATCGTGGGTTTCTCTGCCATGCTCTCTCCCCGCGGGAGCTCTAGGTGAGCCTGGCACTCTTCTTCTATGTTTAATGGTTGTTAATGTTTTTGTTGTTCTTTCTATTTGTCACATGTTTAATTTGAAGATTGTTGTACCTAAATAATAAAGTTAGGTATATTTACTCTGTCTTTGTTTTATAAAATAAAACCATACATCCCCTCTAAAAAAGTTAGTAGCCAGCGCCTTCCGGTCAATATAAAAATAGATACACACAACGTAGATATTCCTTATGACGATCACATATTTTTGGCCACACCTACGTTTACTTATTTTTTATCGAACCTAGGGTATGTTATACGACAACATCGAAGCAATTTGTGAGAGTGTTGCTGAGAGTCCAGGATTATCAATTCGGTATCGTGGTCAAGAATTGGACATTTCGAGAAGCTCTCTACAGCGTATTCACATGAAAGATTTGTATCTTCATGCTTATAAAGTTCAATGACTCAAGAACTGAAGCATACTGACCACGCAGTGACAAAATCGCATTTAAGGTTCAGAATATCCACGAGTGATTGTTGAGAAACAAATGCATCCACAACGTGTCACTGTTTGGTACAGATTCTGAGCTGGAATCATCATCGGACCATTCTTCTTTGAAAATGCGGCTAGTCAGGCAATAATACTTAATGGTGCTCGCTACGGCGACATCACAATCCAGTTTTTTGTGCCTAAATTGTAAGATGTGGATGTAGACGACATGTGGTTTCAACAAGACACATGTCATCCAATTCGAGAAACAATTCAGTTATTGCATGAGTCGTGTCTTGGTCGTGTAATTTCTCGTTTTAGTGATCAGAATTGGCCGCCCAGAGCAGGCGTTTTTACGCCGTTGGACTTTTTTATTTGCTGTTTTTTTTTTGCTAAAGTTTATGCCAACAAGGCCACGACCCACGCCTTGAAGAAGGAAATTAAGCGGTATATCAACGAAATTCAGCCACATTTATGCAAAACAGTCATGGAAAATTTCGACGAAAAAGTGCCAGCAAAACCGTGGAGGCCATTTACCCGATATGCTATTCCATACGTAACCTTATACTGTAACTTTATGAATCAATAAAAAATTAAAAATTTTTTATTAAAAACCTTTATTTTGTATCAAAAGTACTTCTTGCATCATTTTTGGGACACCCTTTATAATGAAAATCATTTCATACAGGGTGATTCACAACTTATCCAAAAAAATTTGTGAATAGATGCGACATGAGAAATGGAGCCAATATCGTACAAAAATTTTTTGTAAAATCCTTATAGTTTCCGAGAAAAAAATTATTGAAGTTATAGTACATTCAACCACTACATAGCTGGACAACTGTAGTCTCTAGCGTCATTTGCAATACGCGTGGAGAGCCCACGTGGCCTGAGCGACTCCGAATACTGAAATCCTCTTTTGCAATCGTCGCTGCGAGAGTGTTTACTTGTTATCTGTGGTATTTACAATAGTTTTTTAGTAGTTAGTGTCAAAAATGGTTTATGTGTATAGCAACCCGGAGTTGATGGATATCGTTTTAATTTATGGTGAAGCATTTATGTTATGGTGAAGCAAGACAACATTTGTGTAGTTCGTAGAAACTGAGTAAGACGGACCCAAATGTGTTTACACGTTGGTGGATAACATTTTGAACAATTGTTGTTGTAACATCGGGTATGTCAAATGATTTTATTATTTAAAAACACAAATTAATTTTATTAATTAATAAAGGCAAAAGCAGTTGAATTTGCCGATATAAAATAGGTGCTATAAATTTCTATTTACATATTTCTTTCTTTGCGAAAGTTTTTGTCTGTCTTTATCACACCGCCATGCCGGTCGCATTGTGTCAGGTCAGGTTTTACAGTGGACCAGTTTCCAGTGCCGTGCAGAAGTGTATTTTTAAATCATTTTCGAACTGCCCTTTTTGATTTTTTCTTTACAAAATTGTATTTGTAAGGGTCCCCTGTACATCCAGAATTTTTTTTTTGGATAAGTTCTGTATATGTTGCGTAGTAATATTTTGTTACCGTTTTATTCGATTATTTCTGCCTCGTTGAAAAGAATTTTTATTACAAAATAAACCTAATTATTACTTAATTATTTTAGGCTTATAATCATTATACTTAAAGTTTATTTTACTTACAAGAAACATTTTATGTTTATGTTTATATAAAATATGTACCTATCTGTTCTGGACCTTAACTCATTTTTTCTCTGCAATATATTTGACGATTCCTGAAATATATTTAATACTTTCTGAAACACAGATGATTAATCTGAAATACAATTTCATGTTCTGACAATTCTGAAATACAATTGACGCTTTCTGAAATACATCTGAAAAAGTTATAGATATATTTTCGTCTCACACATTTGGATATATGCGTCATATCTTCTTGAGATTCCAAAGTTTTAATAATTTTCTGAAAAATTAAGTGTTGTGAATTTACCTAAAATAGGAACTTTAGCACTTCTTAGAACATTGGTACCCATGAGTTCGTTCGAAGGTTGAATTTTTCCCCAACCGGCTACCACGGCGGTTCTTCCAGTCAGTGTTAAATCCGAATCGGGTAAGCAGATGGGAGTTATATGGAGGGCGTACCCAGCTTCGGTCACAAACTCCAGCAGAGCCACGTCGAACCTATCTGGTTGGGTGGCTCTAAACTGAAACTTGGGATGAACTATCCGTTTTCGAACCTAAAAAATATTAATATGTTTATACAAGGTGAACCTCTTAATTGTGTACATATACAGGGTGATTTACAACTTATCCAAAAAAAATTGGGAATAGATGCGGCATTAGAAATGGAGTCAATATCGTAAAAAAATTTTGTAAAATCCTTATAGTTTCCGAGAAAAAAAATATTGAAGTTATAGTACATTCAACCACTACATAGCTGGACAACTGTAGTCTCTAGCGTCATTCGCAATACGCGTGGAGAGCCACGTGGCCTGAGCGACTCCGAACACTGAAATCCGATTTTGCAATCCTCGTTGCGATAGTGTTTACCTGTTATCTGTGGTGTTTACAATAGTTTTTTAGTAGTTAGTGTCAAAAATGGTTTGCGTGTATAGCAACTCGGCGTTGATGGATATCGCTTTAATTTATGGCGAGACAAGACAACATTTGTATTATGGGAAAGCATTTTTGTTATGGTGAAGCAAGACAACATTTGTGTTAGTTCGTAGAAACTGAGTAAGACGGACCCAAATGTGTTTACACATTGGTGGATAAAATTTTGAACAATTGTTGTAACATCGGGTATGTCAAATGATTTTATTATTTAAAAACACAAATTAATTTTATTAATTAGGCAAAAGCAGTTGAATTTGCCGATATAAAATAAGTGCTATAAAAATTCTATTTATTTCTTTCCTTGCGAAAGTTTTTGTCCGTTTTTATAACACCACCATGCCATGGTCGCATTGTGCAAGTTCAGGTTTTACAGTGGACAGGCTTCCACTGCCGTGCGAGAAGTGTATTTTTAAATCATTTTCGAACTGCCCTTTTTGATTTTTTCTTTACAAAATTGTATTTGTAAGAGTCTCCCGTACATCCAGAATATTTTTTTGGATAAGTTCTGAATCACCTTGTATTTTATTTCTGAGTATAATCTACTATAAAAATGAGTCTGCGGAAAGTTATTTCACAAAATGGTAAGTTTTTACAGAGATACCTATTTTTTATAAAATCAGGCACTTTACTCGTACATTTTGAGAACAACTGACTCCGTGAAAGGTAATCGTTTATGCCAGCGCGAGTTTGCCAAATGAGAGATTTGGAATTTTGGGATTTTTTTGGGGAATTTTATATAAAAAAACTACATCTTTTAGTTACATTCTGTAGATTAAACGTATCTCTCCATGTACTGTAATTACCGAATTAAAATTAAATTATCCTGTAATCATATCCCATATAATTTTAAATTTTTAGAAAATCCTCAATAAAATTTAATTTCAGCAAATTAAATACTCTCATATAGTTTAAAACTGCAATATTTACAAAGCAAATTATTTAAAAATAAGGTATTTAAACAGTTCGTTACTACAGAACACGTTTAGTTAATAAACCTGTCAAGCTAAGGTGGTCAATCTCCATGTACTTGTATAGAACTACTCAGAGTACAGATGTAGGCAATTAATTTAGAACAAGAAACTGATAATTAAATAAAAACAGAAGTCAACACTTCAGTGGTTTTCGTAAGAAAGACATAACCTATAACTACAGCAAATTAAACATTCATTTAAAAAATAAATTATAGTTCACCAATAGCGAATATTAGGAAAATTTGAAGAATTATAATACTTTAAACAAAATAACATTTCGCTTTAGTATATAATAATTATTTTCTAAACATCGACTTTCTTGTTTACTATAAACCATAATCATCCGAATTTTGCATTGAGCATAACCAATATCTGATAGGACACATATAATAACATTTTCAAACGATTCATTAAAGTTCCCAGATACTGATAAGGTACAGGGCGATTCACTATATTTTGACCCCCTTTAACTTTTTTGTTTTAAGAGTTATAAAAAAAATGTGAAATATAAAAGTTGCACGATTGTTTATGAATTTTTCGAAAATGATAATAGAAAAACAAATGAAGTCCAAATAAAATGGCCGCGGATGTTAACTTTGTTAAGTTAAATGGAACACCCTGTATATTTTTACATATTTGGATAGAACGTTCCCTGTCGAGCATAGTCATGTAGGGTGTGTTGGGTTCACCTCTAATAATAAGCGAGATAATATTAAAAAACGAAAAGAAGGTTTTTATTAAGAAAATAAGACTTCTTGTAATTGTTAGACCTCTTTCAGGCATTTCTGCCTTTTTTCCAATTACGTAAGGATTTACAGATTTAGTTAAAATATATTTTGATATATCGGACATTGATACGGTGCAAAATGCGTATAGGTAATGTAACGAAATCTCACTAATTAGATCGTGAGAGGTCTAATAGACTCATGGACATATTATGGTAGGTCGTGACAGTGACAAGTAGTAAGGTCTTGACAATATTGTTATTGATTGACAGTTTGTATTATTATTTAATTAAAATAGGTTACACAGAAGTAGAAAATTATTTAGTATTAGGAGTATGGAGAACTTTGCTCTATTTTAATTCCTGTAATATTTCAATTTTCTATTTCTGTGTAACCCATATTAATTAAATAATAATATAAACTGTCAAACAATAACAATGTTGTCATGACATTACCTGTCACTGTCACGGCCTATCATATAACATTGTCCATCAGTAATTAGGCTTCTCACGGCCTAATTAGTGAGATGTAGTTGAAATACCTATACCCAATTTGGACCGTTCTGTCAAAATACATTATAACTAAATCCGTAAATCCTTACGTAATTGGAAAAAGGCAGAAATGTCCGAAATAAGTTTAACAATTATTACAAGATGTCTTATTTTCTTAATAAAAAACCTTCTTTTCGTTTTTTAATAGTATCTCGCTTATTGTTAGAGATGGACCCAACAAACCCTACATGACTATGCTCAACAGGGAACGTTCTATAAAAATATGTAAAAATATACAGGGTGTTCCATTTAACTTAACAAAGTTAACATCCGCGGCCATTTTGTTTGGACTTGATTTGTTTTTCTACTATCATTGTCGAAAAATTCATAAAAACTCGTGCAACTTTTATATTTCACATTTTTTTATATCTCTTAAAACAAAAAAGTTAAAGGGGGGGTCAAAATATAGTGAATCACCCTGTACTGTAACCATCAGCCATTTTGCAATATAAGTTTAAATTTTCATTATATTTTATACATTTGATTAATTTTCACATATTTCACACAATTTATTACGTTAATACATCAATATTTCTGTCTATCATACTACAACAAATAATAAATTCTAAAAGGTTTTTTGATTAACCATCATTTTAGAGCAAACCAGAACACTGACTACAATACTTGATCAATGTGAGCACTTTAGCACTGGTAAGTCTTGATATTTTTATTTAAAATTTTATGAAAGTTATATTCAAAATTTCTTGATTAATTTACTATGCAAAATTACTGCACTATTTAAATTATGCTGCAAATTGCTGTGAGGTACTTTTTACTTTTTCATACTAACCTCAACTAAATATTGAACGCATAATTTTATGTTTTCATGTTGGGTTGTCAGGTTGATTTATGTATCGATTTGTTATTTTCACGGACAGTGTTTTTCTTTAAATTTAACTAATATCTTTAGTAAACTATGTGTGTAATAAAGTACATATTGCGGTTTACGCGAAAACTGAGATTAAATGTTAAAAGCATTTTTTCTGTGCAAGAAATATTCTAAATAAACGTAAGTAAGTTGATGGCAAAAACCAACACCATCTACAGCTTGGTCAAATTCACCTTACTCGCGATTGTGTGCGTTACAAGACTAGAACTGGAGCTCATTCGCTCTCTGAACCCTATTATTAAGGTCTCCTCTCTTTGTCACTTCTGCTGCGGGTTCTTCTTGATCTGGGTTACAAATGTCGAGGATGTTTGAACATATCAACGTAAAAAACTTTAAAGTTGTACGAATTTTGTGTGGGCACAGCTTATACAGCTCCCCAACTGTCTTGGCGGGAACGGTTAGCGTCGATTTCGTCGCGCAGCGTTTATGCCACGCCTTCCAGCGGAAAAGACGGCTTTAGCGTTCGTTCAGGCGAGTAACGACAACGGGTAGTAAGAATTGCAATCATAGGCGTGGGTATAATTTCGTTGATTTATTTTTATTTTATATAATAATGAAAATGAAGATACTTTATTTGGACAATTGCAAATGCCAAACGATAACATTGTTGAGCTCATTTGTAACACTGAAAAGATATTTCAAGATAATTTTGAACAATTATCCACAAAAAATAACATTTGTAGCACATTTCTTGAATTAATTAAAAGACTACCTTTTAGTCATCCGAAAGAATTTGTACTTAGGTTATATTTAAGGGTTAGAATTTATTATACGTTATAAACTATAAACCAAAATTTTAGGAATATTCAAAAAATAAAATTATAGTAATGGAGAAATCTGTAATGATTATATTTTTAATACTATATATTATGTTATTATATTTTTTTGTATATTATATTGTAGGTATATTTTATAATATGTATAAGTATTAGTCCAGGCCGTATCGTTGCTCTCCCGCTAGGCTAGGAACATGATTCTCATTCGATTTTTTTTCATAATCTTACTAAAAAAATGACCCTTGAAACATATCCGCATGTTTTGTTAAACAAATTCGTAATTTTCGATTTTTTCGCTCGAAATACATTTTAATGGGTTTTTTGGGGTATCCTGAACAAAAATGTTCATATGCAACTTTTCTCTAAAATCTACCGTTTTCGAGATATTACGATTTTTTGTTCGAAAAAAAACGCGATTACGTTAGTAAATAGGAGCTTACAACAAGGAATTTTAATTACTCTTCAAGTTTTCTTTTAATAATCCGTATTAACTCCAAGTACAAAACCTATTACCTACCTAAAATACCCATTTTCTACTTTTAATGTCATACCACGTAATATTCTAATTCAAATTTCATATTATTAAAATTACCTACTACGGTACTGTCAGGTAGAAACTAAATGTTTTATTTCAATAATAACAATTATTTTAATCCAGCCCCGACTATTCCGCTTAATCTGACAGAGTTAGCACGATTCCATCTCGTTTGGTTCTCGACCGCCACATCAAAGGCGCCGACAGGGACTCTTCTAGCTGCATATTATTAAGCTGTGGTGTGGGTGTACACATTTTATAGTGTCTATCTCTCAGTAAAAGCTCAGTATTTAGACAGAAATAGCTTATTGAGCGCGTAAACATTTTATGAAGGAATTTCAATGTGTACCTATCATCTATAAATTTATTTAACTCCTTTGTTCCTAATTTATACAAAAAGTTAAAGTATAAAAGTTCTGTATAAGACCGACACTCGGCTATTTTAACGTACAGTGGTAATTTCATTTTTACGCTTCTTCAAAATATGCTTAATTTTATGATCCTGGTACGATAATTCGATATATGTATACAAGAATTTTTTAAATTGAATGAGAACCCATCAGTCTCAACACCAAAGATAATATGTCGGTATTTAAAAATAAAACGAATTTTTTTTAACATTAAATAAAAATTAGTAGAAAAAAACAAAATAAACAAAAAAATACACAAAAATAAAAAACAGAAAAACAGCCCTTTTAAAGACACATTGACCTTGAGCGGTAAAAGGGCTTAAGTCTTATATAAATAAAGATAACGCAATGTAGTCCATCGAATAACAATATAGATTTTGAGTCTAAGTTTTTAGCAGAAATTGTTGAAATATTTATAATTTATCGAATGAAATTGTATCTATCTCTATCTATCTAAATATCCAGTTTTTTTGTGGATTTGAGAATAAGTTCCAAGGGTTTGAGGTTAGGCTTTTATGGACATAGCATAGGTTTGAGGTTTCGGAAATACAAAATATTAGCTCCAAAATACAGTTTCCAATGAGTCACATTCTTTGGTTTGGAAAATATCCTTCGTTTCTTGGATTTGAGGTTAGATATTTAAGAATAGAAGCTTCAAAAATACAAAAATTTGCAAAAAATAGTTTTGAAGGACGTTTATTCTTTGGTGTGGAACATATACATTCTATGAATTTCTAGATTAAATTTTTAGAATTTGAAGTTGGGTTTTGAGGGTTGCGTTATGTTTTGAAGGGTTTGAGGTTAGGTTTTTATGGGTGTAAGTTTATGGCTTTAGAATTAGGAAATATAAGCTCAAAATTATAGTTTTCAAGTAATTATACCTATTGATTTAGAAAAGAGTCATTGTATTACTTTGAGGTTAGGTTTGATGAATTTGAGGTTATGTTTTTGGGTTCAGGTTTGAGGTTGAAAAGTATTGTGAAGCCACATGATTATTTTCGTTGCTTAATCAGCCTGATACAAAATTTTTATTTTTAAATAGGTACCGAATTATTTGCTTTGGTATTGAGGCTGATGGGTTCTCACTCTATTTAAAAAATTCCTACATAGATATGTCAAATTACCGCACCAGGATCATAAAATTAAGCATATTTGAACAATAATAAAAAATAGAAAATAGAAATAGCCGAGTGCGTAGAATTTTTTTCCATATTTCCCACTGCGTAACAGTACATAGTTGATATTTGCAGGTTGTAAATGCCACAGTAGTCAACTGTTTTCAATAAGTTTTCTATTAAAAAATCAGGCATATTTATTTTGAATTTGACTTTTCTATTCTCCCATTTTTTTCTGTAAACGAAACTATTAAGAATAGGTTCTATACAGTGAACTGTACCGCTATTTAAAATATATAAACGTATATCCGTGTGTGTCCCAGTTTTGGAACTGGTCCATTCCACTACAGAATATATATCAACTGCACTTAAATAAATGTACAGAAATTATTAATGATAACAGGGTCCCCCGACAGTAATATATTTTAATTTCGAATTATGTCATAACTCACACTTACCCTATGCAGTTCAGCTGGGGCTGGCTCTGCAACTTTTCCCGTGTCCTGGGTATCAAGTTCTCCCAAATAAACGAGGATGTCCTTTAAGCCGGCTGAAATTATGCAGTGGGCGGCGGTGGCGACGAATTTTCTCGAAACTAAAAGATTAAAATTTTATAAGGACATCTATTGACTTCTCTTAAAGTATTTAATAAGTTTGGGAGGTGGTATTTATTATTTTAATTAAATTCTCCAGATATAATTAATTTTTTCAAAAGCTGAAGAATTGGTCTTTTCAAACTTAAAAAAATGATCACTGCTACTGAATAGTCTTCAATATGGTCAAACTGATAGTGGCTGATCTGCTATGAAAGCAAGACCTGTATAACTACTTGAAACAGTATTTAATTGTAGACCAGGCGGTATCTGTTTACTAGAAATGAACATTTTTCTATGCGCATAAAAAAAACGTGGGCTTAACTTTTGAAGGCACAATATGTTAAAAAAATTGGAAAAATGTCATATTTTTCTTCCTATTTAATTATGTATCTTTTTAAGAGTTGATTTTAGGCGAAAATGGAAAAGGAAAAAAATGTTTGTAATTAAATTTTTTACAATAC